ATCTACTTATGCGTAATAAACAAATTCTCTTTAAACAATTTAACATTATTTTAAATGCAAGCTTGATTAAGTTGTTAATGGTCCACCGTGGAAGTTGTGAAATTGTGGAACAAGACAGGTTTGCCTCACGTTCTTCAATTATGATCCCATTTAAACCATTTTAAAGATTCATTAGAAAGATTCAGTCTTTAACATATTGTGGCACACATACACCCAAAATCTCATCCGTGTCCTAACTAATTTCGCCATTCTCTGATTAAACAAATTAATTATGGAATTACTCTCGAATTAAATACATTTTCCGGCGCCAATCGTACGTCGTCGGTGCCTGAGACCTCCGTACGATGAAGCTTCCTCTTTCATGTCGTTAATTCGTTTCCAATATTTATTTCTGCCACCAGATTTCTATTTTTTTTAATACATTCTCTTATTGCTCTTAACTCTTACTTAGTTGATCATTAATCATTGTTTTTTACCATAATAAGTACTAAGTAACTGAATAATTAGTTTATTATGTTCTGGCCAAATCTAGCATTTGCAACTTAGAAGAAGATATATAGGACTATAAGAGATTTGATTAAGACCAGCGGAAGAGTATATTGTTGCACACATATATCGAGTTGTTTTTATGTTTAAATATCAGTATATTGTTTGTGTCATATAATTCCATTATATTTCTTGAATTTCAAAGGGTATGTTTTAGAAACGGTTAAGAACATATATATGTAATAACTATATGCAATTGCAACAGTAGTAAACTTTTAGGCATGTGAATACATTGCGAGAACCTAATTATGTTACATCCAGATCCTGATTTACTTAGAATTTATAAAACAGTAAATAAATAATCAGTTTTGGTTTACGTGCTCTTATGAATATTTTCAATTAATTATTTTTATTCAAATTTAAAAGTATATAACTATTGATGTGGTCCTATGGATTACTTGTCCCCTCTCTTGCTTGATCAATAAGCTTAATTGCTCATTAAATCCCGAGACCAACGGGTACTTAAGCCCCGCAAGTTGCAGATATCTTAGTTAAGTACATATTAACGTACGTACGGATTTGACTTTAGTTAGTGTGAGAATAGTCATTACCACAGAAAGTCTTTAAAGCAACACAATAATTTTAGTAATTCAAAATTTATAGTACTACAAAGCAATAAACATACTTCCTACAAATATTTGACAGTACTATTTTGGTTTAAGTCATTTGAATAATAATGTAAATGAATATAATATATAAGCGAATAATTTCTATAATTTTTAGAGCAAAATACATACATAATAATGTCTGCATAATACTATTGTTTTGTCCTTCAAGACAGCTGTTCTAAATTTTCAGATAAAAAGAAAACACTGTTTTTACTTTTTTTTATTTATTGTTGAATTCGGTTCAACCTATACTTGCTACATATTAAGTATTTGTCATTCAACGAGTGATGGAAAATGGAAATCTATACGGTAGGAAAATTCAGTATTCAAATGGTGGCCACACTCATATCAGGAAAAAAAATTGGGGCCATTGAATAAAATAACTATCAAACGTTTATTATCGAACATTTTGATTTACTTGAACCACCTTACTATGGGCGTGTTGATCCCTACCACCCGCATTTATTCAAATGATATTGTGAATGTTTAGTTTTTATAAAGAGTGAAATTGTTAAATGACCCAAAAGAATAACGAAATTAAGGAAGTAGCACCATTGCATAATTAGAGAGATATAGCCGTTTGTGTATATAGATGGACAAAAATAACTTCGGACATCGCTTTTGAGAACTTAAAAATTGATTTGAAATAAAGTACGTGACATAAAGAAGTATTTAAACTCGTTTAACATAACCTATCTCAAAAATAGAATTCTATTTTCCAAACTTATTTTCAACTCGTTTAACAAATTATATAAATAACGTGTTGTCTTTAAAAACCCTCATGGATAACTTATTTTCCCATATGATCATTTGAGGATATCTTCTCACTTAACCCGATTGGAATTATTTACAAGAAAACATTTAAACAAAACATACATCAATGAGTTCATAAAACAATAGTAAACTCAACAAATTTACGAGGGTATGGGGCCATAAAACATTTAAACAAAATATACATCAATGAGTTCTTATTCTTTGTACTTCAA